ATGTTTTACATAACAATATTTATGTATATCCAGGATATTTTCAACGAAAAATAATATCACTCGGTATCGAACAAAATATTTTATCATATTTTGGCAGTTCCCGCTCCGTATATTCTTTTATTTAGTTTGTAATAGTGCGATATCCTTTAGAATTTATGGATCGGTAAAGGATTTATGTGCATAACTTCTGTAGGTATCATAAAGGGAACAGATTACTAACACGATAAGAGAAATTGCTCAGTCAGTTACGAGCGCCAACTTTTTTCGCTGACGTTTGAATATAGAACTACCGATAGAACCGTCAAAAATGTTTAAAAAAAGAGGCAACCGGAATATGTAATATAGTAATGCCCCGCTTTACGCGGTAGATGTGTTCTATAGAAAATCGCGTATAACGGGGTTCAAATTACTATGTATTATCATTTATAGGTTACGTACTTTGTTAATGAAGCAAGTGTTAAGAATGTGGTAAAAAATTGTCAGCGCTGCCATTGTTTCTGAAGTTTGAGTACCAAAATCTGATAGGAGAGTTTTATAGAGACGAAAAAAATTATATATGTAAAGATATTTTAGTTAAATGCTACAGGGTGTTCAAACTATGTTAATTTCAAACTTAAAATTAAAAAATCTCAATTTTTTTAAATGGTACTCCCTATATATTATCATTTTTTCTGATAGATTTTGCAAACCAAACTTTTATTAAGAGTTAATTTCACTCAATGACTAAAGAATATAAGGACATGTAACGCCCATATACGGGCTGCAGCAGAATTTGTGACATTAGACGCCATTTTTTTGATGGCGAGAAATGAGTCATCAGCTGGTCATCAGCGACAATTTTAGCGATTTTTAATTGTTTGTGTTAGTGAACTTTGTATAAACTTTATTACAATGGCGATTAGTTGTTCAGCTTTCAAGTGTAAAAGCCGCAGCGATAAGAAAGAGCCAGGAGCTAAGTTTCATAATGGTCCCCCCCCCCCCATAGGTAAATAAACACTCCGTTCCACCTTTTTAGCGTTTTCTTAGCTTTCTTATTGAATTCAATAATTATTTTTCTGATATTATATGTACTTGATGTGTGCTATACGTCGACACTAGTTTTGTACCTTTTGTTAACATTTTAATACGATTTTTTTGTAATTAATTAGTATGATGCCACCGCCTACACCATAGGCGTAGTTAAAACATTTATCAAAAATATAAATATCCCTTCAAGCAGCTAAGTTAAGAAAAATATATGGCCACCGCACTGTTTGGTGCCATGGTAACAATTTGGTCTCGGGTGTTATTTGTCCTTGAATTCTTTAGTCATTGATTTCACTTGTCAGGAAAAATAGCAAAATAAGCGTTCGGCATTTAACTTTTTATGTAAAACTGGCTAGGTATTTTAACACAAATGAAGAAGGAAATTAAAGATAAAGGATTATAGGTACTGTATCCGTATTTTAGCACATTTTTTGACAACTTCTTTATTTTTAAGATTTTGATGGTTAAACATCAACAAAATATTCCTTATGTTCGGACTAAATTTTCTCGAAAATAATGATAGGTATAATTAAAAATTTCGTTACAATACGAAAATAGATTGAAGCTTTGTAATTACAGTGATATATAATTTATGTGGTTTTGTAACAAATTGCTCGCTATTTTATGGCAAATGCTGAAGCTCTGCAAACCTTAATCAATCCTCAATCAAAGAAGGTGTGTTTGGAATTTTAGGTGAGGCTTAACACGACTGGATCGGGCTAAGCCTTAGGCAGATTTCTGAAACATAATATATATTTTCTTCGGCCACACACCCGCTTTACCCAACCCAAAAAGTGAGAGCGACCCAAACAGTACAGCGTAATAGACTCTTAATGAAAAGTGAAAGTCCAGTGTAAAAGTAAAAGTGTTTTGCTGTATTTTGGTGATTTAGTGTTTTATTTTGCTATCTTTAACAATAAGTTTAATAATTAGTTACAAATTTTTGTTATTATTAGTTAAAATTAATTAACTCAAATAAATTAAAATCGCAGTCGTGAATTTCTTGGTGTATTTCTATGTTATGAAAGATGACAACTTCAGTCAGGGCGAATAGGCACAGATTAGGTTAATACTAATTGTTGACGACTACTGATTATAGGAATTTTCTTCGACATACCGTAAAGTTTTTTCTCTCATAGTAATTCTGGTTTATAATTCATTTCGTAAAGCAAACATTATTACTACCGCGAAACCGTCCCATTATACACTGAAAATAATATAATATATAATCTAATATGAAACTTTTTTCTAGATAATCTACATCCATTCTTATAGTACTTAACAAAGTAGAAATACAAGGTGTCCCAGAAATAAGTGCAAATATTTTAAGGGGTGGTAGATTTCGATAAACGAAACATATTTTCTCTTTATCGTTTTTCAATTAAGTCCAAAATAAGGGAATTATTTTACTTTGAAAATTTCCAAAAAAAATAAATTTTTTGCTAAAATTTTGAGAAACCCTGGATCTTTTCTGGATTTTCTTTCTTGTAAATTTAATTTAATACCTATGTTGCCATATTATCAAGAAATTATGTTTTTAACTAAAAACTAAAAAAAATCCAAAAAAAATTTTAAAAAATTTCGAATTTTCAAATTTTTTTTTTCGCGAAAAAAACTTCATAGGTGTGTTTCTGGGGTTGAATTATATTATCAGTTAAAATATTTGCACTTATTTCTGGGACACCCTGTATAATATATACTACTGAATTTAAAAAAATGTTTTTCTTGGGTTATTCGTATACAGGCCCGGCAATGGATCTCTAGGCATAGGAATTACATGCATTGGAATGAAACGCCTATAAAAAGTCTATGCTTAAACAGAGATGGACAACAACTTCCCCGTTTCCACTTCCACTACGACTGTCTACTTAGACAAACTCCAATAAGATAACAAATTTTGGAAATTCCTCCACCTCCCATCCACTCATGATACCCATCTCCCTGCCCTTTATTTATCGCCATTATTTTATTTCCCTTCCCGCGCCTACGCACCTCGCTATTCCGACTCCCGTCAGTTCATCACAGAGTTGCCAGGTCTACCGGTTTCGTCTATAAGCTACCGATCTACCGATTTAAAGAAAAATCTAACGATATATTCAACTGCGTCTTTAGTTTTTACAATAGAAGCACTTTTAAAAAGCTGACTTATTTGACTAAAAATTAAGCGACTGCCGCGTTGGAATCTGTATAATCTGACTTTTTTTTATTGTTTCATTAAATTTTATTTAGTAATAACACACATACAGGTCATCGTTCTGTCTAGTTGCAGAGTTACAGAGATATTCCTAAAAATCCTTATTACTCCTTATTAGGCGCGGTATTGGCGACATGCCCGAAGAAGTTGATATCTTTTGAAAAGATTTTATTTCATTTATCTACTAAAGTTGAACCCATATTTTCCCCCAAAAAATGTAAACAAAAAACAAAATTTAAGTTAAGAAACAACCTAAATTCGGACAAATATTTTAATGATTTTCCCGTCAAAAAAATATATTAATATGAAAAAAGAGTTGAGAGTTGCTACAGCTTTCCCATTGAAATGAAATTAATTTTAGATATCACTGATCAAAATTTGTACAAAGGTAAAAAGTGACTGCTACACTAATTTGTGACTGCTATCCCTACTTGTTATAGTTTTATATGTTTTTATTAATATATTAATATTATTTAATTCAATATTTTTTTTAATATCAAATAATATACCTAGCTATTTCTAATTCTTGTTATATTTATTATATTTGTATTTTATTTGAGTGATCTATTATTACGACACATAGGAATGCTAATTTTGGACTTAAATATTATATTTTATTTCGTTTCTGTACTTTTAATTTTTGTTGAAGATCTACCGAGAATTTTGTTCTCGTATGGAATTATAATCTAACCAACCCGGCAACCCTGTTCGGCTACTCCTTATAAAGTTTTTTTCGGCCTAATTCCTTTGTCACAGCCGCGGCTTTGTCAAGCGCCGCCGCCGACCGACTGTGTCGGGGCGACTGCTAGGAAGATCGTACAGTATTGCCATTTCATAGAATTGCACTTGCTATTTTAGAAATGATTTCAAAGTTTTGCATGTTACTTTTCGTTTTAGAAAGAAGTTATGTGCCTAGAGAAAACATTCTTAAAATTGTTTCGTACTTTATTTAATATTTCATTAAGTAGGCAAGATAATGGGATTAGAAGATTTAGGATTTTGACAAGCCAACATAATTTCGATTTAATTGAATGGCAACACTGTCCGTCCTGTTTCTATTTTTTCGATTCTGTTCTATTAGTAGGCGGTAGCCCCCACACAAGCGTCTTAAAGACCCGCCCGGCGCCCCCTCTCGCAGGGGCTCTCTCGTCGTATCACTTCTATGATCACTTCCCCTATACGATGGTAGGGAAAAGACACTTTATCCGTCTCTGTTGCACTGCAGTGTATTTTGCAGCCTTACCATCTTTTTTTATTGCATTGAAAACCTCCTATTGCTAATATTCCTTTGCCAGTAGTGTATATCAGTCACATTGGCTAATTCATTTTTAGGAAAATCTGTAACTATTATCCCCACAATCCCCACCATTTATACTTATTACAACAAATTAAACTAAAATTCAAGTTTTGTTCTTAACTTGCTTAACAGACATATATTAAAATTTGATAATTATTACTTTTTGTCATGGCAACTATGATGTTATAGGTGGTTATAGCGTAATTATTGTATTAAAAATATGGGTAAAAATAGAAAAAAATGGAATAAATCGCAAACTATTAAAAAAGGTATATGACGTACTTAATAAAAGTTGAAGAGTTTTATCTATCAGAAAAAATGATAATCTACAGGGTGTACCACGGAAAATTTTTTACCACAATGAAATCTAACATTTGTTTAAACTTGATAATACATTACAAAACCTATTAATTTTAGATATACATATGGTATAACACATTCTTATTATAACTATATTTTAAAAGTGGTTTATTTATTTTCTAGGATGGAAGGAAACTCAAAAAGAATTATTTTGCAATTAGAATGCTCGCATATGGAGGAGATGAGGTAAGTAATTATACCATAGTAATAGTAATAGTATAAGTTTTATGTTAGACCGAAAAATAATTCTTATGTAAAATTGGCAATGTAGTCCGGCAGCCGCTGGGGTAAACCCAAAATTTTGGGATTAAGTTTTTTTGAAAACGGATTTATCATCTATAGGTGTCCTACTTTTGATATCCGAGTGATGACAAAGTGGCATCTTTGGGGAAATTAAGATATAGGGTGATTCATTATCAATTATGTGAAATCGAGTGTTATTCGAGTTATCGAGTTATTTTGTGAGTTTTTAACGTGAAAAAATGTTTTTTATATTGATTTATTTAATAAAGTAGGTTTTTTCATAGGTATAAGTGATAACGAAACATCTTATATACAGTGTGATTAAAAAAAAACATAATATATTTTCACGTTAATTGAAGGTAAAGCGAAAAATTAAATTTTTGCATTATGTATACTGTGTAGGTATGTATATACCTAATGTATGAGTAAAAGAATATCAAAACATTTTTTATACAGGGTATTTCAAAAACAACATTACTTCCGTTGAAGGACTAGGGTAAATATTTTAAACACGCATATCATAAAACATTAAAGTTTATCAGTCGGTATCATCCTCAGAATCAACTTCTTTATCGGAAACCACCACATCTTCATCCTCATTATCATTAGCCGGTACAGCGGCGGTCAGTTCGTTGCAACAATGTTCGTTCCCGTGACACATACAAAACATTGTGTAAGGCAATCTAGCACCTTTACACCTACATCTTTTTGTGCTATACGGACTGGCACTTGAACAAGAGCAACGAATCAATTGTAATATATCGGAAGGTGCCAACTCGGCTCTTTCTGGTAGGGTGACTGGTAACAAATGCTTTCCGTTGGCATCTCTTCCGTTGAGAATAAATGTTTTTATGTCAACTGAGTTCCAAATTCTTTCTTTATCTGCCAGTAGTTCTTTCACGGTTTGATTATATGGAATATCTTCTTCGTCGTTATTCTGGCCTGATCGTCGTTTTGCTAACAAAACAGCTTTTTGGCCCATAAATCTGTTTCGACAATCCAGATGGTATCTGGCGTCTACTGTATGTAAGTCTGCTACATAGCCCGCTAATCTTAGACTAACTTCAGAAGCCCAAAATCGCTTCTTTAATTACCATTTTCTTAAAGTTGTCTTTTAAAGCGCGGAACTGGAAGGCCGCTCTCCATCGATGTGGGTGCTTTTCATCTTTTTCTAGTTCACACTTTAGTCCACAAATGTGTTTTGGATGTGTACGTCGAAACGCAACCTCTGTGACCTAGTAAACGAAAATCCTTGTCCGTAGTGATCTTCTCTTCCAATTCTTCACATTTACCATCTTGATACACTTTGCTATAATTTATAATAGTTTCTATGCGTTGTGCACCAGCAACTGAAAGTTTTTCACTTTTCTTCTGACAGGAAAACTTCCAGTCAAAAAAACACTTTTCACTCATGTTTAACTATGTATTATTGTTACAATCAAATTTTAATCTGAAAGAGAAATCACTGTTATCTTTCTGCCTTGGGATAGACCTTTAAGTCTAAATTATAAGCTCTGCAGTTTGCAGTGCCGACTGCAGTGAGTAGTCGCAGTCGGCCGTTCCATCAAATTTAAAATTTCATGAACTTGGAACGGCCAACTACAGCTTGCAACTGCGAACTGCAGGGCTTATAAATTATTAGGCTTTAATTAAGGACACTGATATCGGCAAACTAAGCATTTTCCTTCATCACCCTGAAAAAGGTATATTTAGTATAACATAATTATTTAAGTAATAAAATTGAGTTAATGAAGCCTTAATGAAAATTTTTATGATATTTATATTATTTCTTTTCACTGATACTTCAGGTTACAAACTAAAAGTATCAGCAACTGTAATGAAAAGTTCTATATTTCTATGCTAACATTTTTGTCCAGGCTTCATTAACTCAATATTATTGCTTTACTCTAAATTATTAAAAATGTGTGTTAAACATTTCACAAAATCATTGAAATGGAAACACAAAATCATCGGTAATTCAAAGACCTTCGAACCTTAACCTAAAATTATTAATGCCAATAATGAATGTTGAATTCAATTTAAGATACAAAGTTATAAAAACAAGAAAAATATTAATCGGAAAAATGTAGGATAAGTTTTATTTTTTTTTAATCACCCTGTATATTGGTAAAGGTATATAGCCTATATTTAGTATAAATACAATAAATTGACCAACCCACACGAAAATTAAGGCCTAAAATATATAAACCATATAATATATAAACCATGCAATATATCAATATACAGGGTTTTCCATTTAAAACAATACAACTTTGATATTTTTTATTTATTTGGGACAATCTGTATCTTGTAAAAATACTTTTAAATTGTAGTTCTAATAGTCCTTCAACGAACCCAAAACTTACCATTTGCAAAAATCTAATAGTTTAGCGACAATACTCCGCGTCGTATATGGTGAACAACACCCAGTATGACCACTCATTACATTGGCTACTTGCAAATTTGTCGAATTTTTATTGACTCGACGTATCGTCTAATTTTTTACGAGAAAGATCGTTAAAAACGGTAGTAGACCGAGTTTAAGGACAGTGAAGTCGTTATCGGTTGAGTGATTTTATTAATTTTTTATTCTTCTGCTTAATTATTTAATTTTTATAAAGATTATATGCCATTTACGTGGAGAAATGTTGAAAAAAGTAAAACTGATTGGATATTTTTGAAATTTTTCCATAGGTAAGTAATGTTATTTAAAATATTTATAGCACGCTCATGAATTCCTCTTTAATAGAGAATTTTGTTTCCCTCCTTACGGATGCCCCGTAGCTACTGAACGGATAGACGTACAACTTTTCGATGATACCAGTGGCGTAACTATCAATGTGCCGTGTGTGCGAAGCACACGGGCCCGGGCCGCATTTTCGTATCTACCTATCACATGCTATCGCGAATCAAGCAGAATCGGGTTCTTATCTATCACAAAAAGTTCTTATCTATCACGTGTCTTCTTAACTACTTAACTAGCACACGCTATCGCGAAAATAACTTATTACTTTACACTTGTTCTTGTGCAATTATATAGCTATGTTTTCCTTTTTATTTTGCAAAATAAAAATAACTGGAAATATGTGATTTTTCATTAGAGCATTAAATTTGACAGAAAGGACTTCGAGATTTCGAAGTACTGGACTCAATGAAGTTTATTTAAATTTTTGCGCAATTTCGCTTGAAGTATTACGTAACCCTTCTGTTTCTGATGAGGATGAATGTATATGAAATGGGTCAGGTTCTATACCTTAAATACCCCGATGGTATTGCCTATACGATTTCTTCACAATTACTCTCCTTCAGGCAACGTTTCCGAAATAATTTATATGAAATCAATTGCATTTTTGCACTCACTGAATTTATTTTAATTAAAAACCTTTCATCGTCTTCTAGTTTCAGCGAGATTTTAACAGCGTGTCATATTTTTCTCACCATACCTGTTTCTGTGGCCGAAAACGGAAAGATGTAGAAACAAAATATTTTATGGCTATATGTGGGGAGGCAATGTGCACAATTTAAAATTATTTTGAAATATACAGGGTATCTCAGAACTAATATCCATCCAAGGTTATATTTTTTCTTATGGAACACCCGGTATTTTATTTGATTTTTGGATTCTTGGGCCCAAAAATAGGCATTTATTATAGGGGTTAAATATGTTTAAAATCTTTGGTTTTTGAGATATTTAAATATGCATGCTACAAAATAATTGATTATTAACACCCTGTACATTGCTTTTCAGAATTAATTATTGTGCTGAGTTTAAAGGTAAAGAAATAAACTTTACTGAAAAATGTTATTGCTTGCTTAAATTTATACAGAGGTACCAAAAATTGGTGATGTATTTTAAGGATATATTTTACATAAAAACTTTGTTATTTCAAATGAAACACCCTGTATTTTTTTAAATAAATCGAAGCAGCTTCATATGCTCTTTCAAGCTATATTAGGGTTTCCTATACCTATCTATCTCAAATTTTGAATAAAAAGCGATTTTTAAATAAAATGGCAATCAAGATGGCTGGTATCGACATGGCAATTTTCTAGTGACAGTTAGTTATTATCATAGTTTAAGGAAAAGAGTAGTTGCACTCTCGCAAATATTTTCTGCCAGTTTTTGCAAGCTGTCGAATATCGGCAGGTTGCAACAGTGTTGTCAGAGTGGGCGATTTTGCGCCAATTGAATTGCGATATTTCGAGAAAATTGGCGCCATAAATTTTCAGAAAATCGCAAACCGCAATTTGGGCGATAAATTTAATTGCGATATCGGAAATTTTTAGCGCTTTTAGGGGCCATTATCGCATCAAAATCTTAAGAAACATTTAACGGGTGGCGGTCCGCCTCCGCCACTGGACATTCCAGCCAAAAGATATGTTCGATAAGTTTAATTCTAAAATGTATTTGTCAGATTCCGTTAATTCGGATGCAAATGCTGAAGATGTCGAGGTCGAGGATGTAATAGACCTACCCATTACGATATTACTTATTCTAAAAAAAAAGTTACTTTTTTATGTTTCGAGCCAGTTCTCAAGGAAAAGTAATGTTGGTTGCGGTTTGGTTCCGGTTTTGGGCGATTCTTTGACTTTACATTTGCCCAACCGATTTTTAAATCTGACAACACTGGGTTGCAAAGCGTTTCAGTTGAATTCCGTCCGTCGAGCTGCGAGGTTCAAGCACGGCACATAAAACAATCGGCACGCCAACTCTACTCAGATTCCAATGTTTAAAATTTCTATAAAATTTGACCTTGTCGGCGCCATTATGGTTTCCTAGTCAGGGCCGGATTAAAACGTATTAAAAAATTTCTCAGAAAATACGACAGGGTCGTATTAAAAAAATACTGTGATTGACTGAAACTGAATTTTATTTACAATACTTTTGTCCAAACAAATGAATCGTTAACCGCGCATACTTCTCGAAAAGTAAAAATGAAAAA